GAGGCATTTATTAGGTCCCCTCGCAGCCTTCTCTTCTGCAGGCTGAACAAGCCCAGCTCCCTCAGGCTTTCCTCGTAGGAGAGATGCTCCCGTCCCCTCATCATCCTCGTGTCAGATCTCTCCAGAAGACCGAATTTTCACTCTTTATTTTCCAGCGAAGGGCGAGTGGTGAGAGTTTAGCTGTACTGTTTATTTTTATTTTGAAGATGCTGGTCTGGTCAACAGCCTCTTGGTGTTTCTCCCGGGCAAGTCACTAAAAAGGCATGTTGGTAGATAACTTTGCACCCATAATTTCTGAGAGGAGAGAGCCAAAAGCAGCCTCCTGTGGTGCAGAAGCTCCCTTTGCTACTTGAACCAAGGGACTGAGATAAGATCTGCAAACGGACAGTTCCTTTTAAGTAGGGCTGCCATAGAGATAACATATCCAAGGTGGTTTTGATGAAAAACTGGAGGAGGGCGAGTGTTAGATTAGTTTAGAAAAAACCCAGCTCTGTTGTGAAGAATTGTTTTGCTGCTGTGGGTGGAGTTCAGGCTCTATCTCGCCACCGTGCTGGGAGCAGCGGCTGCTCTGCTGGTTAATAACCCAATTCTTCATTAACGAGCTGGGCTTCCTGGCAGCACTGCATCTCCCATGCCGTCCCGTGGCCCAAGACACCCCCTGCTCCCTCTCTGCTTTTGGGGACAGCGGGGGCAAAGCACTCGAGCGTGGAAAAACCTCTTCCAGCCCGTGACCCCTAGGAAGGAAACCGGGTGTGAGGCCCCCAGACTGTAGTTCTTAGGAGGCACCAGAAGCGTGTCCAGGTACGTTTCTGTCTACATATTTTGGCCAAATGATTTGTCTAACCGAGTAGTGATGTCTTGTTGTATCATTTTTACTGCCTTTTGTTTCAAGGAAGGGAACGGAGCCTCTTCCTAACGAATATTGACCCCGCTGCGAGCGGAGGCGGGTGCGCGGTCGCCGCGCTGCTCGTGGCGCGGGCTGACGGGGTAGGGCAGAGCTACGCTAACCTGCTGCCAGTTCCCATTACAGTGCCGCCCGTCCCGCTGCTGCAGCTGGAGAAGTGCTGCACCAGAAACAACAGCGTGACGTTGGCCTGGAGGATGCCGCCATTGAGCCACAACCCGGTGGAGGGTTACATCTTGGAGCTTGATGATGGAGACGGTGGCCAGTTCCGAGTGAGAATTTCATTCAGCGTTTGATTGTGTTTCTTTGTATGGGAGTCTCCTCAGGCTACGGATTTGTGTCTGTCTGAGGGTGGGGAAGGTACAGGGGGTCAGAACGTCCCTGCTTGCGTCGCGTGGGTGTAGAAAGCCCTGGGTGCAGATGCTGCTCGACAGAAGGACCCCCAGCTTGGGTCGGAAGCTTGGTTGACATTACTCTCAGGGCTTTGGCAAAGAGGGCCTTGAGGTTCTCCTGGAGTGTACCAGAGTGGAAAATCCCATGCTAGCCTACAGGAGCTGGAAGTGGTTCATTCCACAAATCAGATATTTCTTTGAAGCCCCTACTGGTGTCTGTCCATAGCACCCCATTTCAACAGCTGAGATCCTTGGTCCGGAAATGCAACTCAGTCTTTCCTGGTTTTCTGAGTAAAAATGGGATCCTGCATAAAAATACAGGATTTCTAAATCCTTTTCTGGGAGCGGGTGAGGCCAGGCGGGTGGAAGCTTTCCTCAGACTCGCTGCGGTGGGGTTGGTAAGCATGGGGAGGCATCCCGAGCGCTGTCCTTCCAGACCCTCGGGGTGATGCCGCAGCTGCTTGCTCCCGGCTGCAGGCGCAGGGTGCTTCTAGGCTCCCGTCCTTTCTTGCCACGTCCCGATAAACAAACTGCAGGAACGGTTCCGTCAGCTTTCTGCCAGGCAGGCTTCAAGCTCCTGTTGCTTTAGGTCCAGGCTGGTCCATTGCATTCCCTAGCGGCCAGTGCCTGGAAAGCAGCTGGAGATCGCTGTTGGAGCACAGCTGCTCTCCTCGCAAATGGGACATCTTGCCAAAAGCATGTGATGGCATTTCTCTGGGAGCTGCAAACTGGCTTCTTGCTGGAAATGTAAAGGTTTCTCAAGCTGAAAATGGCCTGGCACGGGTCCACCTAAGGAACTGCCTCCCTTCCCAAACCTCTATGCCCATAGCCAGCAAAGGCTCCTGACTTGGACCCCCCTCATTAGAAGAAACAGCAATATTGGCAGGGCATTGTGAAGAGGGCACTGTGTTTGTGGATGGTCTCCTCAGTTCCTTGGCCCAAGTATCATTTCACGTGGGTTTAAAGAGGCTGGTCTGCACTACTCAAAGTGTGGAAAGGTACCTCTGTGAACAGCTGCTGGCAGCTGCCGATATAGTTAATATTAGTAGGTAAAAGCACGTTATTGGTGTGTGATGAATGAAGGGTTAGGAACAAGGTGTTATGAATTCCAGTGTCTTGGATAAACCTTTCCAAGTGCTGTTCACATCTGAAGAAATACTTGTGAATAAACAAGATTTCAGGGTGGTGGATATCCAAAGCCTGTTGGGGGGAGGGGTTGTAACTGGCAAAGGTTTTAGGACTGCCAGCACTGCCATGCAAGGTTTTGGATTGAAAAAGATACAAAACCATCTCAGTCCTTAAAAATCTGGGGTGACAGCTTCTCAGGGGAACGCTCTGCTTGCTGTGGTAGAAACACCCTCAGTTTTACCCGTGGAAAGCCAAACAGCAGGCTTCTCAGCAATGCCATTTCAGTAAGAGTTCGCCGATCCTTTTCGTGAAGGATTGTATATCTGAAAGCAACGCCCCTGACTGCACTTTATCGGTATTCGGTGGGTGGATTTAAAGCACAGGGTTTGTCTCCCATCATAGCAGAGAGCATCAATCTGAATAAACACAAGCAGTGACTGGCAGTAAAAATATGAAATGGATTAGAAAATGTGAGAGTTTGTCCCACAAATACAACTTTTTGCACAGACAGCATATGTTATAACATGGAGATAAGTTCAGCTATTCTATTAAAGCTCTTCTTTCTTTCCATGAAAGACCATCAGCTGACTCAGGAGCCAAAAGATTTTGTTATTTGTAGCAGCCACCATGGTAGCAAAGTGGACAAACACATGGCCGGCTGTAAACTGAAGTAATCCCTTTCTTATTCATCACATGCTTAATTCGCTTTAGGTTCATATCACAGAGCCTTAACCAACAGGACTGCTCTTAGGCATATACTCAAGTGTCTTAACTGAACTGGGGCCTGAGTGGTCTGATTAGTCACAGCCGTAAGCTTGTTTGGGCCTTTGCTACCATAAATCTACAGATTTCAAAGAATCAGAGAAATTAGAGGTGGAAAGGAATTGTGGCTTTCAACCCACTGCCAAGACAGGATTTTCTCCTTCTCTGTTATTGTCCGTTCAGTTTTCCAACAAAGATGAGATTCCTAGGCTTCTTTCAGTTCACCATAGGCTGTATAATCTGGCTGATCCTCTGCATTAGTCTGCCTAGATGTTCCTCCTCATGAAATATTTCACATTACACAAGTGCTTGCTGTTCAGTAAATCTTTGCAGACTGTTATGATATCTCTGCCGTCTAATTGTTGTTCCATCACATGATGTGTGTGATCCTGATCTTTAGGAGATCAGTTTCTTCTGGGTCTGCGCTTGCAGGTTTCCAAATTGTAGTTTAGCACAGGCCTGAGATGACATTTCCAACAGAATAAAGCTGTGCTTACTTGGATTTTTAATTCCTCGACGCCCCTCCTTTTTGGTCCTGCGTAAATATAAGAATGGCCACGGTGGGTCAGACACTGGGACTACTATCCAAAATAGTGTTTAGGAGCAGAGGATAAGAATTAAGATCTTTCTGTGTTGCCTTTTATTGCTGTACCCTTCCAGCTTCCGCTTCACCTTAGTGTCTCCACTGCTAACCGCCCTTGATGTCTCCACTGCTGTGGCTGTAACAGCGTAACTTCTGCATCCTGGGAAGCAGTGAGGAGTTGTTCTCTCGTGGCTTGTGTTTAGAAGTCTTGACATGATCACGAGGCACATAGAAACAGTTAAATTTTGTCCCTCTTTCTCTCCCTCCTTTTTGTTTTGGAACGTTCAGGAAGTGTATGTTGGCAAGGAGACTCTCTGCACCATCGATGGCCTTCATTTCAACAGCACCTACAATGCCAGAGTCAAAGCTTTCAACTCGTCGGGGGTTGGTCCTTACAGCAAGACGGTTATTTTGCAGACGTCGGATGGTGAGTTGGGCTTTTGCCAGCTTCTGAGTGAAAAGCTGCAGGTCTCAGCGGCAGGACGCTTGCATCCCTGTGTACCCCCTCATATCTTTGGCACTTAGTGGCACGGAGATTGTGGATCACCTGAGCGGAGAGGCCAGGAACTGACTGTGCACAGGGGCTGAGCTCTCCTCGTAGCACTTAGGGGGATTTTCCGTTATCAGTAACACCTCAGGTTTCAAGTCATGCAGTTTTGTTTGGCTGTAGAAGTCTGGGGTCTAGCTAAGATTCTTATTAGCTTTAGCATACAGAAGCAGTTACGCAACACACGGGATATTTTTGTGCCACTCTGTCTCCACTTCTCCTTATATCTTTGCCATTTGCCTTTTTCTTCACTACTGCTTCCATTTCACAGCAAGGTTTGATAATACAGCGATGGGAATTCGTGCTTGTTCCTCTGTAATTATACTTGACATCCGTACGGGCATTAGAAGAAGTTCATCTTCATTAATGATATTGTAATGAATCGAGAAGTGCATGCTATTATCACTTCCACTTTCATGCTGTGTTGCCAAAATAGGCCAGTATAAAATATTTATACTTTAAGTGCTTTTTCTGTTTGTTTGGGTTTTTTTTTTTTTCCTTCTTTTTTTTTTTCCCTTTTGATAAACTGGTGAAGTCCTAACCAGCACGGACACAGTGGAGCTCCATTTCCAGTAAAGACAGCCCTGAACCAATCCACCTGTGTGAGCAGCTTCCATGTCACGGAGGAGCCTTTGTCCCCTCAATGACTTTCTTGTTACTGTGTGAGAACAGAGAGTCACTGCCCTTGGCAGCTTACGTTCAGAGGAGCAATATAAGGTGCTTCTGAGCTGAAAACCGGTAGGGTGCTGGCTCAGAGCAATCTTGTGTAGCTGCCTACAGTAACGAGGAAAGATCGTCTTTATTACCTGAAAGCGCAGAACCTCATTCTCCTAATTGAAGTCAAGCGGATGATGCGTGCACACAGCCCATTCTGCCGTAATCCTGCCTTTCCTTTTCCCCTTCCGCAGTGGCGTGGTTCGCCTTCGACCCCTCCTCAGCTCACAGAGACATCGTCCTGTCGAACGACAACCAGACCGCCACCTGCAACAGCTACGACGACCGGGTTGTTCTTGGCACAGCGGCCTTCTCCAAGGGCGTGCATTACTGGGAACTGCACGTGGACCGCTACGACAACCACCCGGACCCAGCCTTTGGCATCGCCAGGATTAACGTCGTCAAGGACATGATGCTGGGCAAGGACGACAAGGCCTGGGCCATGTACGTTGACAACAACCGCAGCTGGTTCATGCACTGCAATTCTCACACCAATCGGTAAGCGCCGCTTGCGTGCTTTTTGCGTTATTGATGGCTTTTTCAGCTTCGCGTCGGAGGAAGGGGTCTCAGCAAGCCATCTAGTCCATCTCCCTGCTAAATGTAGTCATTAATTCCGTCTCAAAAATCACTAGTGACAGCGATTGCACCTCAGCGATCTGCGTTGGTGTTTGTTATCCTTTCTGTTAGCAGTTTTTTCCTGAGATCTAGCCTGAGAGAGTAGGGCTTGTTCAGCCTGGAGAAGAGAAGGCTGCGGGGAGACCTGATTGCAGCCTTTCAGTACTTAAAGGGAGCCTGTAGGAAAGATGGGGACAATCTGTTTAGTAGAGACAGCAGTGACAGGATGAGGGGTAATGGTTTTAAACGAAAACAAGGTAGGTTTAGGCTGGATATAAGGAAGAAATTCTTTACAACGAGGGTGGTGAAACACTGGAACGGGTTGCCCGGAGAGGTAGTGGAGGCCCCATCCCTGGAAACATTCAAGACCAGGTTGGACAGGGCTCTGAGCAGCCTGATCCAGTTAGCGGTGTCCCTGCTCGCTGTGGGGGGGTTGGACTAGATGACCTCTAAGGGTCCCTTCCGACCCAAAACTTTCTATGACTCTATGATTCTAAATCCCCTCCCTGCTGTGATTTAAGCCCCTTACTGCCCGTTCCACCCACGGCGTCAGCAGACAGGAGCGCAGCGCATGGGGACGCCGGATTTCTCTCTCGTCGCTGGACGAGCGCAGGGAGAAAGGGGTCGATTCTCTTCCCGAGGAGGAATCTTGGCTGCAGGGTTGCACAATAATTAGCCAAAGCGCTGGTGATCGCCTGTCCGAAGTGCAGGTGTTGACTGCCAGTCCGGAAAGCTGATCAGAGGTGATTAAAGGTAACACCTCGGGTGGTCTGGACGCAAGGGACTGGAGGGCTAAGTGACAGCTTCCGTCCAACTGAGCCGTTGTGCTACGGGAACTGAGATCCTGGAGAAGATCGCCACTGAAGGGCGCGATTCAGGATCCTAAGTCCCTTGCTTAGTTTGGAAAACGGTGTCTTTGTGTACCTGCTCCATCACGAGGGGGGACCGATGGACAAATCAAGTGACTGACCAAAAATACGTAGTGGGGCTGTGGCAGAGCGGGAATCAGTTCCGATTGAGTTTTCTGCTGGCTGTCCCAGCAGGTCTTCCGCACTCGCTGGCTCGGATGTTGTTTCTGCTATGCCAAATGCTTAAAAAAAAGTCTTGCAGCGATTTTTAAAATGCTCAAATGCAGGTGTTACCTCCTTAAATAGAAAAGTTCATGCCAACATGCACTCAAATGCTTAAAAGAAAGGCTTGCAGCGATTTTTAAAATGCTCAAATGCAGGTGTTACCTCCTTAAATAGAAAAGTTCATGCCAACATGCACTGTATCCTAAAGCTGGTTGTGATGTTTCTCACTGTTGTAGAGACAGCAGTGACAGGACGAGGGGTAATGGTTTTAAACTAAAACAGGGTAGGTTTAGGCTGGATAAGGAAGAAATTCTTTACAATGAGGGTGGTGAAACACTGGAACGGGTTGCCCAGAGAGGTAGTGGAGGCCCCATCCCTGGAAACATTCAAGACCAGGTTGGACAGGGCTCTGAGCAACCTGATCTAGTTAGTGGTGTCCCTGCTCGCTGCGGGGGGAGTGGACTAGATGACCTCCAGGGGTCCCTTCCGACCCAAAACTTTCTATGATTCTGTGATTCTATGTTTCCTGTAGAATAGCCATTTGCACTCTAGAGCATACTTGTATTTTAAGTAAGTGTACTGCAATTGCTGGGAATTTTTGTTTGAAGCATAGTTTGATTTTGCAGTTCATTACAGACAGGTGGAAGAACGTTGTAGCAGGATCAAAAGCTACCTGAAGTCAATTAGAACATTTTCCGTGTCTCCAAAGACCTGAGACCATGTCCTAAGAAAATACAGAGTAAAACAACATCAGTATAATAAATTTATCAAGAGGTTCTCTGTCCCTTTAACATCTTGATTTGATTTAGGGCGGAAATAATCTTAAGCTGTATTAATTTTAATGCTCTGTGAAACAGCTTATGTTTTCTGGAAAAAAGCTGGCAACCATTCTGCATAGTACTGTCCCAGAAACCTACTTTATGGATTTGGTCCTCGGTGTGCTCCTCCCGGCAAGCAGCACACGAGCTAAGCCGAAGCTTTTCTTCTGGGAAGCACAAACAATGGAAACACTTTGGATTTCCAATCCTCCCTCTTAAACAGGAGAGCGGAGTGCTTTTTGTTGATGATAGTTTCCCAGTTTCCACTAGGTAAAACACAAAGGCTCTGCAGGCACATCCCAGGCGTGGGTAGACCCGTGGAATATCTGCTCAACTCAAGTACACCCGCAAAGGGCATGGAGTCTTACGAAATCACATGCACTCCAATGAAATTAGGTCTAGGCTTTATATTTTCAACCGTGACTGTCAAGTAGGTCAGTTTTTTAACTCATTAGCTCTATTAGTCTTGTGGAAGCAGTTGTTGCTGCCTAGTTGTTTTTCCCCACTGGAGACAAGTGCATGACCGCACAGTATCCCAGTCTGAAGGAAATTTATTGTCAGCTTTCAGCCTCTTGGATATTACTGCGGTGGAAGTTACATCTTAGTTATCATTTCACGCTTCCTGATCTCCATGAGAATAAATTAGGGCAATAAATAAATGACTAGCTTCAAGGATAAGCTGAGGTAAAGCCTGAAAGACCTGTTCACGAGACCTGTCACGTTTAGAGTACGTTCCTGTTCCTCTCGCTCACATCATGCAGAATTGGGCCGGTCTGCAGCCTTAAAAACTAGCGTCACTTCTGTAACGCTAGAAGAAGAGGCATGAACAGAAGACTGTAATGCTATCAAAAACTGAGGGGACCTTCGAGAATTTGAGGAACTACTGGGGAGAGTCCAGCGGAGGGCTGCGAGGATGAGGAGGGGACTGGAGCATCTCTCCTACGAGGAGAGGCTGAGGGAGCTGGGCTTGTTCAGCCTGGAGAAGAGAAGGCTGAGAGCGGACCTTAGAAATGCCTCTAAATATCTGCAGGGTGGGTGTCAGGAGGACGGGGCCAGACTCTTTCCAGTGGAGGAAGTTCCGTCTGAACATGAGGAAGAACTTCTTCCCTCTGAGGGTGATGGAGCCCTGGCCCAGGCTGCCCAGGGAAGTTGTGGAGTCTCCTTCTCTGGAGATATTCAAGACCCGCCTGGACGCGGTGCTGTGCAGCCTGCTCTGGGTGACCCTGCTTCAGCAGGGGGGTTGGACTGGATGACCCACAGAGGTCCCTTCCAACCCCTGCCGTGCTGGGATTCTGTAATAGGTTGAGCAAACTGGTTAAGAAAACACTCAGGGCTTATTGTTGCACACAGAAATAAAAATGTGCAGGACTGTGAGAAAAGAGGTGCGAGAAGTGGGATTTACTTGAACGAAAGTGATGCATATCTTCAGAACTGAATTATCATTTAATGAACGCCTTGCAGAAGTTTGCTCCTGAAACTTTGACTCTCCCCACCTCTCCTGCTAAAGGAAGTGACCAGGACAGTAGTCCAGAAAGCACCGGAGTCCTCCAAGTACTGTTCCCAAGGAAATGGTGGGATGCCTGGGAAGAGCCTCAGAAGTCCAACCTCCCTGGCAGCAGCCTGGCAAGTGTCCCCTGCTTGCCTCTGCCCCGGCTTCGTCCTGCCAGAGCTGGTTGCTCGCTGTGGAGAGGTGGCAGCTGAGGAACAGAGCGATCTGCTGCTGAGGTGCTGCGAGACTTGCGGCAGCGAGGAAGGGAGAGGGTCCCCATCCTTCTGCTCCACTCCCGCGCCTCCGTGGAGGGGCCTCAGCCGGGTCCTGCCCTCGCCTTGGGTGGGCTCTGCAGGCAGCATCTCTCTCTTCTTCAGCGGGTCCGTCCCCAAGCACTGCCCAGGGGTTGCTCAATGTCACTGTGCAGCACGCAGCTCATCAGCCCACAAGCAGCAAATTAGTTTATCATCTAGGAAAAAGCAGAATAATCTCAAGAAGGCAAAGCTGCTGTTTCTTTTTTTCCCTAAGAGAATCAAAGTCATTTAAAGGATGTCATAAAATCTATTTTAAGACACTGCAGGATACAAAACGTGGTGCTCTACAATCGACGCTGTTCCTAAAGAGAGGAAAACCATAGTGTAATCTATCTGTAAATAGCTCTAGATCATAGCACTGTTGCTTCCCACAATCTCATAAAGAATTTTATGATTGAGTGCTTTTAATCAAAACAGTCTGGATAGTAAGGTGCTGAGGATAGGTAAGCATCTTCACTTTTGTTGGAAAAGAATCTCCTTTATGGTTTTGGAGACGAGCTGAAAGAGAAACCTATTAATGCTGATAGGACCAGCAAGCAAACACAAGGAACCTGAGAACAGTAAAGTTGACATCTAACGCATCTGAGAGCCCAGTTCGTGGTTCTCAGCTGTACTATTATTGTTTGGAGAGCTTTAAATGGAGAAGTCAGAATACCATTTCCATCGCTGTCAGAGCTAACACAGCCTACTGTAGGTGACCCTGCTTCGGCAGGAGGGTTGGACTAGATGACCCACAGAGGTCCCTTCCAACCCCTACCATTCTGTGATTCTGTGATTCTGTGATTTGCCTTCGGAGGAAGGGCCGTGTGCCGCTTGCAGTCCAAAAGAAACCAGTTTATGACACCTAGTGGGCAAGAGAAAATGTCTTACCCTGCGCTATAGTCTTCCTAATCTTCCCATAGTCTTCCTAATCATATTTTGCTCCCTCCCCCCTCCCTTTTTTTTTTTGTTTTGATGTTTTGCCTACCGATCGTGACAAATTTTATGTTGAAATTGCATTAATCTTGTGAATGTGTAGTGCCTGAGGGGAGCGCGTGGGACAAAAGACAGCTGCTTCCTTTCCTACTGCAAATGATTTGAAATCTGATTTAGCCCGAACGAATTGCGCCAGGCTGTAAACCCATCGCAGAGCCCCCGTGGTATTAGCAGGGTAGCAGTGCCTGTGGCCAGTCTGTGTATCTAGTAGGTTTTTTTGTTCGGTGCTCTTTAAAGTAATACTGGGTCTGACTAACCCCCAAATCAAAGTGCATCAATGTCAAACCGCTCGAGCGTGTCCTGGCTGGCTGAGCCTGTCCTGGCAAGCGCTGATACCATGGTAGCTCTCAGCAGCTGCTCCTGACACAACCGATTATCGCTGGTATTAATGGCCGTGCTGGCACGCTTGGAACAGCTCAAGGTCCTATAGCTGAGCACCTTGCCTGTCGGGGAGCTACGTTTGTCCCTAGCCAGCCCCACTGTTCCCCTGCTTCTCCAAAACCAGCATCTCTTAGAATCACAGAATCATTAAGGTTGGAAGAGAGTCACCCCAACACCCCCATGCCTGGTAAACCATGTCCCGAAGTGCCACATCTACATGGGTTTTGAGCCCCTCCAGGGATGGGGACTCCACCACTGCCCTGGGCAGCCTGGTCCAACGCCTGGACACTCCTTCAGTGAAGACATTTTTCCTAATATCCAGTCTAAACCTCCCCTGGCACAACCTGAGGCCATTGCCTCTCCTCCTATCGCTGGTTACCTGGGAGAAGAGACCAACCCCACCTCACCACACCCTCCTTTCAGGGAGCTGTAGAGAGCGATGAGGTCCCCCCTCAGCCTCCTCTTCTCCAGACTGAGCAGCCCCAGCTCCCTCAGCCGCTGCTCATAAATCTCCTCATAATCTCTTGTACCTGTGCTGGCTCCCTGCTCTCTGCAAAGCTGGGTGTCCTTAAGGGAAGCCAAGGTGAGTACTCGAACTGGATGTCTGATCTCGAGCTGCTGGCAGGCATAAAGGTCAGAAATGAACACCTAGAAAATTAAGCTTTCTGCTTTTTCGTTCCCTGCCGCACGTCACTGCACTGTGGCAGGGGAGCTCTGAGGAGCCGTGTCTCCAGGACTCCCCTCCCGCACGCTCAGTCCCGACCGGACCTGCTCACCTCCCCGTGAGCCGAGGGGACCTGTTCGCTCTGGACCCCATTTTCAGCTCTTAGATTGCAACTGGAGGAGAGCTGGACCTAATTTCTCTTTAGGATCCCCCCATTAAGCTCTGATGAAGGTGGCACGTATGCTTCAGATAAAGGCGTGGATCAGTCGTTGCCAAATGCCGCGGGGATAATCGTTTCGCCGTGCTGCTCCGCTCTCTGCTTGGTGAGACTGCCTTGTCCTCGAGAGAGCAGCGGCGGTGTAGCCCTCTGCCTTCTCCAGGTGTGGTCTCTTTGTACCTTAGGACCGAAGGAGGAGTTTCTAAAGGTGCCACCGTTGGTGTTCTCCTGGATCTGAACAAGCACAACCTGACCTTTTACATAAACGGGCAGCAGCAGGGGCCTCCAGCGTTTGAGAACGTCGAGGGGGTCTTCATGCCTGCACTGAGCCTCAACCGAAACGTCCAGGTAAGTCTTCTGCAGTTGAGTCCCACTTACCCTGCTCATCTAAAGGAGAACGTGTGCTACCGGCCGCTGCTGCAGGGGCTGGTAACGTTGCCTGTCGGGGGAGGAGAACGTGTGCTACCGGCCACTGCTGCAGGGGCTGGTAACGTCGTCTGTCGGTGGCCAGTACGGACAGGGGGTCTTGCCTTCTCAGACTGACACCTAGGCTACGAACGCTTTTTGGAAAGCTGCATTTGGCCTTCTGCCTTGCCTCAAAGCTCCAAGGAGTAATGCTGTAAAAACAAGTACCTGCACGCACTAATTCCTACGCTGACTTTGCTGCAATGCTCCGCTTGGAGAGCAGCGGTGCTGTGGCTTCCTCTGCCGATCACCTGAGTGTCCTAATTCCTCTTAGATCTTATATTTGGAGATTATTAACATTGGCAAGAGACAGAAATGTGAGCAGCACAGTGGTAAGTAGAGCAAAGACAAGGTAGGTCAGAGAACTGGTGCAACA